TAAGTAACACTACTATTTAGTAAGTAACTAAACAGTAGTGCAACATTTGGTGTTTTCTGGTTGTACACCAATCATAAACACTCCCAGACAAGTTGCTGCAAATATACTGTAGATGCAAATCATGAAAGGATGTCCTCAATGATCAAATTCAAATCTTTCTTTCTGCTCAGAAAGTGTGTGTTTGTTACAGGATGCTATGATGTTTGAAGATAAACTTGTCAACTTAAAATTGTGTTACCCACTGGGAGCTTGAGAATAAATAACAGTGAGTCTTTGGATCTTCCTTTTCTTTTCTAACTCTAAATTCTCGCATATTATCATCAGACACAGACAGTTGGTATAACAAGACTCACATTTATTTTAGTTTATAACGATGTTTAAAAAGGTAAACATGATTTTTAAACACTGCAAAATCTCTATGTTTGTACAAAGCACAGAAAGCAGCATCAGCTCTCCCTGATACCTAACATGTTCTTCATTATGGAAAAATCTGAAATGTAGTATTGGTGTGGTATTAATATTGCAAAACTTGACATTAGTAAGCACAGGCTTTTGTCATATTTTACCTGTCCTGAGGTAGGCTATTTGGCTCCAGGTGGAAATTGCGGTTCATAACAATCTCATGGGAGAGGCTGAGATTGAAAAGGTCTCTTGCAGACTCCATGACCTCGTCCAGCGTTAGGGTTTTGGGTGGGCTTGCTGTGGGAATCAAATATTTGCTGATTTATAAATTGGGGGAAAAAAGCATGTCCGACTATTAAAGATGACAGTATAGAGCACAGATGTCAAAATCCATTTACACTGTTCATACATACAGCTCACTTAAGGTAACCAGTAAAAGTCCGTCTTTATGTCAGTGGACTGAAGTGTAACAACACATTTAATCCTTGGCATTTCACACTTCTTTTTCTTAATATAATAAAAAGAAGTCTAATAATAATAAGCATGTTTCAGTTTTTCCACATGATGAATGATGCAATAGTAAGAGAAGAGTACGAATTTTTGGACTTAAACTGTAAGAAATGAATATGTAAAATGACAGATGAAGTTTCCCAGACTGTCCTGCAATTATAAAACAGAAAGTTCATTAACTGAACATGTTAGATATTCTTATTAAATCTTAGATTCTTCTACAATTGTTATTTGTTATATCTGGATTGGAGTCTCTGTCAGGCTTATTCTGGCACCCGGGCCTTATGTTTTGATGCCCCTGGTGTAGGGGGTAGTAGCTTTCTTACAAGCCTTTATATTAAATACAGTCATTAACCCCTAACAACAACTGCAAACAAAACAGCAGATTAAATGTTTTTGTTTTTTTTACCACTCAGACAGGGTCATCAAAAAGAAAAAACCCAAACTTGGATTATATGCAGTGAGCTTATGCATAGATCAATGAGAAAGGAGGGGGACAGACTCACAGGATGGGCTACAATGCTTGCTGGAGGAGTCACTGGTGAAGCTATCACGTGAGCACTCCAGGTCGCTGTTCAATGTCATGCTGTCGCAGCGCTCTGACGATGACTCCACATCACTGCCTTGGTCCTCACCGCTGGATGTGGAGTTAGGCCGCTCATCATTTAAAGGCATTTTGGATTATAGCTGCAAATAACAAGTCAGTAATCACTTAAAAGGGATTTCCTACCACAGAGTTTAATTCAATATGTTCAGAAGATCCAGACTTTTAAATGATAATTATTGAGATACTTTCGAGGGAATCCTGCATAAACTATCCTCAAAGTACTCATTAGAAAACCAAAATTTCCATGACACAATCTTACCATCATTTTACCTGAGCTCGTCTGAGAGTGAGATAGTGTGTGACTGTTGTAGTTTTTGTTACCAAGGCAGAGTGTAACAAAAACACCAGTCATACTCAGTGAAACAGCTGGAGGGCACCATTAAACAGACAAAGCTGCCTTGTTGCAAAGACTTTCAACATATTATTAAAGTCAATGATGGTGCATGACGTAAGTCACTGAAAAATAAAAAGAAATAATAATAGTGTATAGTGTGGTTCAGTGTTTGTTTACTGCCACCAGGGTTTAAATCACAATACAAAGTCTAGACATAAACAGAACACATTTCCATATAGGTTTACACAAAAGCCTTTATGCCTGGGCCTGTCTATCCAATGTCAGTTGTGTCTCCAGGGCAACATGGGACAACAGAGGGCTCCGCAACTGTCAAGATGATCGTGTTACACTTCTCACTGTGCTGTTGTTTGTTTTCCACAAATACACATAGGAAAGAAAGGTAAAGATGACGGGATGTGCACATTTTTAACGTTATTGTAAAGACTGTTTACCATTGTTAAAAAAAGAGTAACCCACTTAAACATTACTTGAGTACTGTAACAGGTTAAATTAAGCCTGCAGGCCTTTCTAATATAGCCTAAGACATACAGTGCTGGCAGAATGACCCATAGGTGTTCCTATCCTCTGGCTCAGTTATCTGCTGCCAGAAATGAATGCACACTCCCTGGCAGCGCTTGCAGTTTAAAGATAGCTCAAGGGTCGAGGAAAATGGGTGTGGGGAGCCCTTTTATTACATCATATGCTAGACTTGACAGCTAGGTCAAAGCCATGCAGCAGGCCAATTTTCAGAGATTATCCAGAGGGATAAAAGCAGAGTGATCCAGAAAACTGATTACGGATTAGGTGTACTCTGTCATCTGCAGCTTCTTTATGAGAAAGAAGCTGCAGTTAAGCAGTTCAGATGCTAGGTAGAGTAAAATGCATTGTCCTGTTATAACCAGAAGGATGCAATCTAAGATAAATGAACATATCATATAATTTTCCCAGATGTTTTGGAAACATATCTGAGCGAATATGTGATTGAATAAGAGGTACAGGCGCTCTTACACCACACACACACACACACACACACACACACACACACACACACACACACACACACACACACACACACACACACACCAGGCATATTGCTACATCAACTTCTGCAGGAACAAAGACAGCCTTTTGGGGTCCAGATCTGACTGCGGTATAATGTAAACAAAGCAGTGAATCAGGAAGGCAGGGCTAGATCCACGGGAACTCTCCTTATTGGTTGCAGTTCCCCGTCTCTCAGCCCTACATGGAAACTCTTTGGTTGCACAGCTACAAACGTGGATAAAAAAAATATCCACACACGCGTAAGAAGTGGGTACACGTGATCCGAGGTGCAGACCAAAACAAGAACTCCGTGTACATTACAAATAGTATATTGTATCTGATCATGACAGAATTCACAGAAAAAGAAGTGCGGAAACAATAATGCGTTACGCTCTCCCTTCAAAATACATCTGATGCATCCGTCAAACTAAGCACTATGTCAGTGTTATATAATTGTCTTTGTTACTTGACTAAATCCCCTGGTTTACAGCTTAATATGAGTCATAAATGTCATTAATTTCGTACACCAGCTGTCACTGGTATGCTAAATGTCAGAACCGTCAAATACTGTACTCTTCTTCCTGTTTCACAACAAAGCGACGGATAACTTAGCAGCAGACACCATAAACTAAGCCACAAGCACAAATGTCTTCGAGAAACGCGATGTTTACCTCATTCAAGTCACTAGAAAGTGAAGCTGACAGCGAAAATAGCCCCGCTCTGAAGCGAAAAGTCGCCGTCGTCCTTTTTAAAGGTCCTGTTCTGATTATATTTATGGTGGTTGGCAATGGTGCATTACCAGCACCAACTGGAATGAGTGAGCTGTGCAAAGGGAATTCAAGTGTTCAATAATAGTAATAATAAATAAAAAAAGAAAAAAACGAGAAAAGAGGAAAATAAAGTTGTCTCCTCTTGCGTTTGCTTCTCTGTTTAAAGGTCCTTCAGTAGCCCAGCTGGCTCTGAGAACTAGCGGGCGAAACCATTTTACACACGGGTGTGTTCAACTGCAAAAATAAAGGCGATTCTAAGGATTGTCTTTTTAAAAAAATAATCTAATTAATTTTAAAAGAATCTGCAATTTAAAGAGAGCAGATACAATAATATGCAGACATTTAGTTCAGAAAAGGGTAATGTAATAATACGGGCTACATTTTATCAAGCTGTCGAAAAATGGTACACCCCGCCCTGCTTTTCCAAAACGTCTGTGTTCACGTGGGTTGTTTTGTTTACGGATGTAACCTCAGAACCTTCACAGTATTGTGTAGTACTGTGGACGCCTGTGCTCGCTATTATTTCCCTTAACATAAGACCTCTAAAAATATACGGGTCTTAGGTGGGAGGTTTTTATTATATTAATACTACAGTATGGTCATTGTGTGGTTATATGACATCTTGAGAAAAGATCCAGATGCTTAACTTGTGACAAATTGAGTCTTTTCAGCATGTTTCCAATGGCAGCACATCTTAAATATAAAAACTGCAAAATTTTTATTTTTATTCGACTTTAGGCATTGTTATAAAATTTTCATTTAAAAACGAAACAAAACAAATAAAACAAAAACCTTTCGGGGTCTTTTGCACGTGTGGCTGTTGTAGCCTCTGGGGGGCAGCAGCGGGGTTGAGTCGGTTCATTTTAGACGAAGAAGAACGTGATTACGTCACATATAGAGTTTCGTGATGGCGCTTGATTTGACTCCTCGGTTTAGAAGGTTGAACAGCCAAACTCGAAGCTTTCGTGAAAATCTACAGCATGGTAAGATATGAGTTTCGTTTTAACGAGTTTCTCATTTACAGAAATGACTATGCAAACATAGCATAGCAATTAATACACATGCTAGATGGAACTAGTGATAATTATAAACACGGTTGCCACCACAAACACGTCGTTATCAGTGGGCTTGTAAATTAACTTTCAACTGTAGTTTTATAAAATAAAGTATTAAATTGAAATAGTCTCGTAAAGTACTTCAACGTAGTACATAAACACCATGATAATGACGTGCAGTGTAGCTTTTACTTACTAGTTCAATTCATTTCAATTCAAAATTTATTTATTCAGCGCCACATCACAACAACAGTTGTAACCCTAACCCTTTCTAATTAGATGGAGGAAATATTACAAACTCCCCTTATCCTTCAAACTTTTAAACAAGTCATTAACATCCAACAATTACCTTTGGCTACAGTTAAGCAAGTTCTAGTTTAAACTCACTGGAGTCACTTTTTCTTCAAACCTCTGTTTCTTTAATTACCAACAGGCTTCTCTGGGCCCTTTGGTGCCACCCAGCTGTGGCACAACATCATCCAAGCCCTACAGACTCAAGTGGAAGTACGCAGCTGCAGGAGACATTTACGTGTTTACGCTGAATGTTTCACAGGCTCAGACGCTGTGGACGCAGTTCTCAGTTACTTGATGCAGAACGTGGCATTTTGCACAAGTGAAGTTTCTCGTCTCAAAGCTGCTCGGCTCTGTCAGGCTTTGATGGAGGCGAAGGTATTTGAACCAGTAGGCACAAAGCTGTTTCGCAGGGACAAGGAGGTGACCTTTGAGGACAGCAGCTGCAGTCTTTACCGTTTTCTGGAATACAAAGGATTTTCGAATTCTGATGTGAAGGGAAACATTGATGCAGAAAACATACTGCCAGAACAACAGGAGATAAAAAAGAAGAGGAGCTCAAGGTGAGTTTTACATAAAATCCTCTCTGTTCTGTTACATTGGTGCTTAATTTACATTTATTTTCCAGTATTAAAGCATGTGAATCACCACTGAAAGTGCTGATCTGAACACTGAAACTCTCATCTTTGCAGAATAGGTGTATTATGATTTTTTTTATTTTATTTAGTAAATTTGTTGCATTTATCTTAATGTTCTCATTTCAGTTTCTTCATAGCTAAGACATTATAAACATCAACACTCATGCTAAGTATTACAACATTTTGTATTTAGATTTTTATTTAGAAAAAAGAAACATATACACAGAACCAAAGTGTTTGTTATCATCCAAATGTTTCCTGTTCTTTCAGGAGGCTGAATGAATTAAGAACAATTGCCAATCCTCTTGCTGTTGGATCTTCAGACAGAAGGGTGGAAAGATTGCTAAGGGCCATCAATCTGCAGCCATCCTTGTCTGCAGCTCACAACAGAACCACCACATCTTCTACCTTTCTTTCCAAAACCGGTACTGAGCAAATGTGCCAGTGTAGTAGGGGGGGGTAATTTCGAGTGGACAGATATTTTTGTTTTTGTTTATTTTGCTCTTTCTTCCTTCCATAGTGTCAGATCAGGTTTGGAAGCAGCAAACCGTGTTGCAGCTGCTGCAGTTAGTAGAATTGCCAGTGTTGGACTGCATTCTTACCTCTCCTGAAAGAGTTCATCCTCAAACCTGCAAAGCTTCTCTGGCCAACCAGGATCTGGTTATCTCTAACACATGCTTGGAACGAGAGCTGTCTGACACCCTTCCCCTACCCCAGTCAGTCCTCTGATTCATCCCTTGAGGCTTTTGCACTTTGGCTTGAGACCTATTTGTTCATGTATTCCATTACACCTGTAGTATGTTCTTTCATACTTTTTTTTCCAGGTTGGATGAGTGGCTGTCAGCAGCAGCAGACTGTTTGGAACTCTTTCCCGACCAGCTGATCGTGGTTGCAGGAGAACAGCTAAGCCTGCAATGTGGAAATGCGTCTTTGGAGGATCCCAGTGCAGAACATATGACAAGCAAGAAGAGGCTGTTGTTTGATACCATTGCCAAATACTACAGTGGACAAGAAAAATCTCCACTCATTTCAGGGCGTTACCTGGACATACATATTGCAGTTCTGAATTTACTGGGTAAGAACCAAAAGAGCTAAGTTTAAGTTTATAGTGACTTTTGATTCATGGTGTGGAGCATTAAGTGATAGGGCTGTGATCTGTACAACATTTTTTTTTTTGTTTTGTTTTGTTTTTTTTCTCCAGTCATGAAGGTTAATACTTGTGTCTTTTAATTTCCAGATGAAGGGAAGCTACAGGATGCCATCAAAGCATCTCAATTGTGTTTGCGGCTGCTGGAAACAAGTCTGAGAGATGAACTGCAAAGACTTCTGGCCTTCATGGCGATAGCAGCTCGCTCAGATGCTTGCCGTCTTCAGAAACAGGTCAGCAGCATCCTCTAAACCACACTGCCAGTTCCATCTTTTTGCACTTTTATAGAATAATAAAAGGCAAATAGTCCATATAGAAAATAACTGAACGTGTTTGAATCTGTTTCACTGAATAATCTGATAGTACCGTAGCTTTATTTTGTAAAATTATAAATGAAATTGAATTGAAACCTATTTTTTGTCCTTTCAGACTGATAACAGATCCTTGGTGTGCCGCACATTTCAGAGAGCTCTTGTTCAGAATCATGAATTGACTCGATCACAAAGTGAAGCTCTGGTGTTCTTTCTCATGGACAATCACTCTGAGCTCTTCAAGGTAAAATTCTGTGCTCTCAGAACTACATTGAAATAGTCTTCTTAGACAAACACGCGTTTCCGTCTGGATTTCAACCAGCCTTAAGTTTACTTTTTAATGTCTCTACAAGTACCTGATAGTTGTTACAGTGTTTCCTTTTACTCTCTGGTCTTATCTTGCAATAATGATAGACACCTACAACCCTTATTGAAGCTGTGAGGAGAACACTGAGGACTGTGCAGCAGGGAAAAGATCCTGACTCATTTGCTAGTAAGTTCAATGTTAATTACACTCTGACAAACCATCACACAGTACACCATCAGATGAGATAACAGCTCACTATGTATAGATACACTGTACTTCAGTTTTTTGTGTACCTATCTTATTTGGAAACACTGTTGCTCCAGATCCACAATAAAAAAACAAAACAAAAACCCCACTTGTTCCTGAGCACTGTGTATCCTCCATGAAAACCATGAAATCCTCTTCATGTTTTGTTGCAGCGTTCACCTTCTGCCAGCAGGTGACTCCACAGGAATACGAGGACCAGCGTGAGGCTACCACCCTGGAGAGCCTCAAACAACTTCTTCATGACATTTCCTCGAGCAAGAGGATGTCTGCCAAGGAGAAGAGGAGGATGCTCAAAGAATTTGAAAAGCATCACCCCGTGGTCTTCCTGCAGCACTTTTCTAGCACTTTCTGAAACACACAAGTAGCTGGGACTGGTTTGACTTCATGGGTGTACCTACAAATTCACGCAGTTTCAGGATTTTTTTTTTAAAAGGTTAAACTTGAATGCATTTTATGATTCTAACTAACAAGGAGGTACTGACTTGCATATGGTTACACCTCTAATGTGTAGTATGCAGAGTGGGGATGGCATTCTGAGGTGGATACATACTACAAATGCTTTTCAAACGGCATGTTACCATGGGTGTAATCTTTCCAAATCCAAATGAATCACGAGGTAATGATAGCTGAAGTTTTATTTTTAAATTTGCTGGTAACTTGAAGGCAATGAAATTTTAGTTCAGTACATCTGGTCAATAACTGCTGTAAAAAGTATTGCACTAGTTTGAAAACTATATTGTTGGCACAGATTTTACATTCTACAATTTAGCTTTACTGCAGGATAAAATCAGGTGTTAAAAGGGTGTAAAGGGAATACTTAAATTTCAGTACTAAATGAATTCTCTCAGCCATCAAATGGTTGTTTTGAGGCAACATTAAGTGAACAGCTTGTGCTTCTAGATTGAAGTGCTCTATTTGTATGTGTAATACTAAACTCTTTTTTTTTTCCCAGTGTGCATCAGGCCTTGGGAATAGTGTTTTGCTTTTCTGGGGCTGTACATTTTAATTAAGCATTAATTTCTCTACATCACAAAAAGATGTAAAGATGTTATCCATTTTGAGGCCTTGATTTGGTAGCTGTACTTGAAAGAAAAATACTAATTGTTGTAATAATTTCTTTTTCTGTGAACATTCTAAAAAATGTTATTATTAAATGAAAGCAGGAAGGGTGTTAGGATAACTATCCTCATGTATAATTTTATGGTTAATGACTGCATTTAGTGCCATAATTTAAATATTCTAATTGGAAGTTTTTAGGATTTTTACTTGAAAGATAGACATTATGACCTCATTGGGGAAAAAGTGCGGTACTCTAACTGGATATGCTACTGATGTAATTTTTCTTTAAAAATTATAAGCATCACTGTAATGAAGACATGGTCATAATAAAAAATGTGGTCTCATTTTATTTTCAGAAACACTGAAATCATCTAAAAAAATGCACTTTACGATGCTGAAACATACTTTATTTTGTTTCAGATTAACATGTTTAATAAAGCCTTTCTAAAACTTTCGATGTTGCAGTGTATGTACCACAGTGCAAACTAGAAGTCAGTGTTTTGTAATGGAATAGTGAGGATAAATATAAATTATGATTTCTTTTTTTTTTTTTGACACACTTCATCTGTTTCTGATTAGGATTTTCAACACTACTATTACTGCAAATGTTTTGTCATTAAGTTAATTCCTATCTGAAATTTAATAAATATTCGAGTGTTCAGTATGAGGGTGACTCTTTGACTTATTGGTCAAGAATTTATGAAAAAACATTTTTGAAATCTACTTTTTTAGAATATTGGTAACAGGGTTGCACCGCACATCGATGGTTTATTATTTATTATTCTCAAATACATAATACAAATTGGTTCCTGTCGTTTTAAACCACGTTTGAAGCCTAAATTATCCTCTAACTACATAATAATCCTTAAAATTCATATTTGTATTCATAGGTTTATATTTTTCTAATAATTTATTATAAACATATTGTTTGAATAAATTGACAAAGTGTGAAATAACGACCGTGTATAAAAGTTACGTTTTAACTTAGTTAAAATAAAACCGACCTCGAAGTGGTTATTTAAAAAAAAACATAAAAGAAAAAGAGTACCTGATGACGTTGACGCACCTGACTCCGTTAACAAACCCGGAAGTAGAGCTCTTCGTTCACTAGCGTACCAAGCTAACTCATTTCGTATGCTACTGGAAGACATGGGGGCTGTGTTTCACAGCCATTACTGATAGCGGTACGGCTGAGAGCCCACTTACAATAGGAAGTAAAGCGGAGACCCTTTTTTAATATTAAGGTAAGTAGCTGGAGGCATTCGGAGTGAAAGTTTTATATAGAAATAATCGCTGTTTGACTGGAACGTCAGTCTACTTGCGCATTGTTGGCTAGTTAGCTTGGGCAGTAGACTGCCGTGTTCATGTGGGGAAAAAGGCAACATATTGCAACGATGATGTCTGCGACATAGGTAGGCAAAGGGTTAATAGAAGAATTGGAAAGATATCTGTTGACTGCCAGCCGTGCTTTCAGTACTCGTTTGCATTGGCTGTGTGCTAAACAAGATGGTTAACTTGGCTAACATCAAGGTATTTCACAATCAGATCTGACAGACACGCCGAGTGACCCATAACACTTTGAAACCCATGCTAACATGTGGCTTGATCGTGTCGAATATGAAGAACTTATTAATTCCTGCCGACGTTACTTACTTGTTATTAGATACGTCCAGTTTTCATAAACAATTCCACCATGATATTAACAGGCTCTCTGGGGACCAGCTGCTAAGGTGCTAACGACTTTATTAGGTTAGCAACTGGTATTAATATAGATTACAGTCAAGTAAATCACGCGTTTCAATTTAGTTACTCGTCAGCAGACAGTCAGGACGCTTGTTGCAAAGAAAAACAGGGTCATGGGTTTCTATTCATGCGTACTGATATTTTTGCCATTGTTTTTTGGCCTTTCCACTCTTTCCAGGCAGAAGCAGTGGCGTGGTAAAATAGGCTATGATGCTGTCTGTTCTATGAAATCTTCAAATCTGATTGCCTTTAGTGCTTTAGATGTTTTGCAGCATTTTTCAGAGCACTGCCACATCTTCAAATGAAGCATCAGGGCTTTAGGGTTTCGATCCTTAAACTGAGGGACAAATTCTAGAACGCTAACAGCTTCAAAAGTAGGTGATGCTATGTGATGCTGCATATAATGAGATGAGAAATACTTTATTTATCCCTTTAATAGGAAAATTATGCTGTTACAGTAGTTGAAATGATGAGGAAATTATAATATTGTCTGGCAGCTGCCTGTCCAGGAAGTGAACAGGCTGGTCTGGATTATCCGTGGATGGATAAAAATTTGTTCAGTGACCATCGCTCCACCACAGCTTCAAAAACATCCAGTTTGCAGTCAGTCACAGACCCTGGTTTTCCTAGTTGTTTTATTCAGTCTGTTGGTGTCAGCAGCTCCGATGCTGCTCCTCCAGCAAACCACAGCAAAGTCAAAATTGAATTTAAGTTTGAAAGCATTTATAAAACGTTTTATTAAGAATCACTGTATTTTGAACATTTCAAACCCATCCATAACACTTTAAATGTAGGGTTCTGTAAAGAATTAATTATTAAAACTGCAGCTTACGTGGCAATGTATGGATTTGCTGGGAGCTTATTCGGTTCAAACATCAAAGGTCTAGAAGGCTGCTCAAGAAAGATTAAGAACACTGAAGGAAGTGTTTGCATTTTTAAAAAAACAAATGTAACAAACAAAAAAAACTTGCTTCACAATCATCGGTCATGCTCTTTTGTCTAGGTTTCTGTTGCCCAACTTGCTCTTACTCTAGACTATTTTGAAAGAGAGCATTAATGTGGTGTGGCTCAGTTTGCTCTGAGTCATTTTATATTTCTGGGGACAGCGTGGATTGTTACTATGCTTATTCTCCTCAGCCAGCACAGGGAGGATGCTGGTGGGGACTTTGATGTGCAAATTTTCAAGCAGGTGCATTAGTGCATGTCTAATGGATTGTTGAAGGCTTTTGCTTTGCCAGAAGCACACAGATGTCTCTTTCACCAACTACCTACACAGAATATTTGTTTCAAGTCCCATGAAGCTGACAAAATGAGCAAATAACCTTTTTGTGAAGCCTTCCACCGATTTCATCTTAATATAGTAGAAGTTTTTGCTAAACAGGAGAATGGGGTGAAAGCCAGGGAACGGGTTTGGGAATGCACACTCGCGTTTTTAGAGGCTTCTTAGTAGGGTCACCATAAAGGCCTATTCTGCAACAGGAAAAGGAAACGCATTTGAAACAGCTTCATATTTTAATTAAATTATTGATATGTGGCTGCAGTTTACTGATAATCTTTTGCAAAAGGAACTGATTTAATCAATCTCATTATTGGGGGTTTTGTGTAAACACAGCCTTCCTATTTAATTTCTTTAACCACTGTCTTTTTTTTCTAAAAGGTGCTTCTTCAGTATCTGCAGAAATCCAAAGACCTGTTGATATACAAGGCTTTTATATCATTGAAAAGAAGTTGTTTTTTTTCTCCTACTGACCAGAGTTGTGGGCTTTTTTTTTGGGCATGCATCTGTACTATAGTCTGCCAAACTATTGTTGGTTTGTGTACAGCACAGACAGTACATGCTGAATGTACTGAATCTAATATTACCACCATATTCCACATCTTTATTGAAAAATTCTATTATCAGAATAAGGTCTAATGCGTGATATACAAACTGAATTTACAGTTTGCATGGCCAACTTGCAATTTGGGGAATTGCTATATTAAGAATAACAGTGGAGTCTACTGTAACTGTGCATGTAACATAGTGCCTGGTTGCAAAAACTCCAAAGAATTTCCTCATCTGACTGAGTGTAGCTTATGTCTTTAACCTCTGATCATTCCTTAATGATCATCATCAATGTTTTATCTCAGCTGCCAGGTCGAGCCTGAACATGGAGTCCATGCTGAACAAATTGAAAAGCACTGTCACTAAGGTGACAGCCGATGTCACTAGTGCTGTTATGGGCAACCCTGTGACACGGGAGTTTGAGGTGGGGCGACACATTGCAAGTGGAGGTCCCGGCTTGAGCTGGAGGATCTATAATGGCACCAAGAAGTCCACCAAACAGGTGTGTGTGTGTGTGTGTGTGTGTGTGTGTGTGTCAGTGTCTCTCTCTGACCAGACCACCTCTTGACACAAGTTTAGATTTGATCCAAGTTCATAAATGATTTACCCGACTTTTGCTGAAAGGGGAAAAGGAATTAATTTGAGACTGAAAACTGCACTGTCACCATGTTGTTGTATGTCTTTTACCCTCCAGGAAGTAGCAGTTTTTGTTTTTGACAAGAAAATGATTGACAAGTATCAGAAATTTGAGAAGGACCAAATCATCGATTCACTGAAAAGAGGAGTGCAACAGCT